TTTCATAACTTTACTGTAAATATTTCCTACGTGTTTCATAGATATTATAATTTAATAATTCTCCTTTTTCTGTACATGGTTATGCTAATATTCAGTTACATAAATAAATTACATTAAATTTACATACTATACATTCCTTTAGACAGCCGAAGTCGTCGTGTGGTATAGTAAGATTAATTTAAATATGAAATATTGAAACGTAAATATTTAAGTAAAAACGATTAAAGAATAAAAATTAAAAATATTTAAACTCTTTAAAAATAACTATTGTTAAATTAATCTAACAAATTCATAAAATTTAAGTTATATTAACCAAATGCAGGGAAATAAAAAAAATTTAAATGCAATGCGTTAGTAAATTTTAGAAACCAATAAAGCTGGAAGTGTAATTTTTAAAGCGACATCATTTAGCTGGCCAATAATGTAGAAATTATAGCACTAAGGATTTAACACCGATCACGAAATTCAAACAAAAATGCTCTCTAATATTTGGTATTACATTAAGGAGAGAATAGAGAGAGCTACCTCCTCACTCCCTTAAAATTTAGCCTGACGGTCGTCATGAAATGTCAGAACTACGTATTTTCGAAACCGAAAAGATAGTAGTCAAATTATTCGTCGTTCGGGACCTTAGACTATTTTTTTCCATCCTCTAAGTTCGGGACAGACTAATGCGTATTTTTATCATCATAGAGTTGTCATTCTACAGCAAACACAAGGTTAACTCAAGATCTGACATTTTACCTTATATTTCATACTGAAGACTTGACTTTGCCTTTATATAATTGATTAAACCGAAAAAAGCGAAAGACAACACCGGGTCCTTGATTCCTTTACTTTTTTCCACCCACCCACCATTTAAACCATTCTTCTTAATTATTTGTCACACTCAAAATTTTATCGACATCGAACTTTCGCGACTTTACGCAATTAGTCTGCTGAACTCCCTAATTTTAAATATTGAGAATGAATGCAATCCTGACCTTCAAGTCAGACAATCGAGGCTCTTAAGTAACAGATATGAAAATCCAACTAAGGTCTTCTGTTAGTAGCAAGTTACCATACAGTTTGGTCGCCACACTATTCTTTCACATTTTGCATCAAGGTGGTTTACCAATTGCGCAGGTGGTCGCTGTATACCTACTATCAATAACTTAGTTTTCATTGGCGCTAAACATTCAACAACGACAGCAATACCGTTACTATTACCTTTCCAGATGCCGATAAAAACTGTAGAGAACCTATAGAACGTTTTAAACACTCTTGCTGGAGGAAAACCATGCCAACAAGGTGTATGAAGTTTATGTATAACGAGTTCCTACTCCAGATAGCATGACTACCAGAAAACTACCAGAATCTCAAGAATAGAGTTGCTTTTGGCATGCAAAACAACAAATCGTCGCCTTACTTTCTCAACGAGTTACTGAAATGCAAAAAATGGATTGTGTATACAAATTTTGCGGACTGATTTCGCATCACATTTCCTTCATATTCACACACTGGCTTTTGCCTATTCTTAAAGTAACGCATCCATATTAACACGCTTGATAAGAAATTTAAAATAAATAGAACGTTTTGCCATGACTACCCCTGAATAATCACTCTTTATAAGATACGAGTTTGAGAAAATAAGGCATCGTAATGCTGAAATGACCCTTTGCACGATGATGATGTTAAAATAAATCTTGATGCAATTTTATTTTGGCATCTCTGATTTAGCGAATAACTATAATTGAACACTTTGATACTTTTATTCATTGTAACTATTTTTTATTAGACATTTATGCAGGACAGTTGCAAAACACAACCACCAGATAAATACAATTATAACGTTCTTATTAAAAAATCATAATATATATTATTATATATTCGTAAGTATCAAGAATGTTTATCCCAATTCTAATAAATGTTGCTAACAACAATTGTCAATTTTCCCATTTATGTTGAGATTCTGGTAGATCGATTAAAATAACGGTATTGCCGTAGAAGACTGGAGGTCTATAATATTTCACATTTTACTGAAACTCGTCATCAGAAGAAAGCAGAGTGGTCTTCTCGTGATAATTGTTGCTTTGGCTGATGGTGGCAACGCGTTGTGGCGGCGGCCTTGGCGCTAGCGCAGCTCCTTCCTCCCGCTTCCCCGTCCCACCACCCGCGCGCATCACTATGTGGTAAATTAAGAATTAGTTCTCAGTATGTGCAAGGTGACAGGTTTAGTGGTGACTACGTGATTTTTACACTATTTTCATCTCATTGATTAATGAAACCTCGTGAGTTCCTTATGCATATCTAGCATACTGTCCCTAACAAAACCAATGGAAGTAAGTTCCAACTTTGACGAAAATGATTGATTTACATCACAGCATGTTTACATGTTCTTACATGAAGTCCTGAATCTAACCATGAAAATATTTTTTCCGCCAAAATTATAAATTATGATCATTCGTGCTAAAGGGGAATACATGACGATATGCTGTATCGACTTTCGTATACTGAAGCAGTTGAGCAAAAACATAAACAAATGTGTCGATCCACAATCCACAGATGAAGGTACGTAATGGAAGAATTTTAAGGAGTATTGCTTGCACTAAATTAATGTGAATCGTATACAAATACCGAAGGTGCATGCAACTCATAAGGTACCTTTATCAGCAGACTGATACAAGTATCCACGTATTACGAGTAATAATGTAAAAATCACTTTTACTATGTGCAATAAACTGGCTTGTGTTATTTGGGCTCCACACTGTGTTAGAAATTATTCTCCAAAAAAATAACTTCCACCATATTAACAACTAATAGAAAATAATATAGATATGTATATCAGTGTGATGCTATAGGCTTGACGACTTACGTCTTATACCTAGAAATATGACGCTTATATTGACTTTAGACTAATGATCTTATATTCCTTTATTCAAGTATATAATATCATTGGTTTAGACAAGAATGTTCGCGTTTTCGACCTAAGTGGTTCATTGAAATTTAACATGGCGAGGCTAAAAATATTATCAACTTGCGACTTTAATACCATTATAATAAGTATGAGAAGCAACATGTTTCAATAAGGGAGTTGCCAAACTGGAACCGGCTTGAGCAGGTCAGAAAAATTTATGTTCATGAAATAATGAGTGAAAAACACGTACCGCCTTACGATTCATCTCGGATCGCCGACGCGAAATACACGGTCTATTTCGCTCTTAAGACATGGACATTAAAGCTTTTTTTGACCGGCTTAATGAGTTTCCGTGTCGATAACATTACATATTATTTGAATACGGCGTATTTTATACTAGCCGCGCATTTTGATAAGAAATAGTTTTTAATTTATTTTTGTTTGTTAATTTCAGTTAGTTTTTCAAATGAAGCAACAATATGAAATTCTAAGTATAAAAAAAACAAGCTTCTTGCTTGCAACCATGTTGGCGCGCGTTTGAATCGATTCACTAGAGCGCGTCTGCGGCGCGTATTCGCAAAGATGTTTACGCCGCCGTAAATGCGCGTCGTCGGTGCGTATAAAATACGTCGTGTGCAGTGTGAAACATTATGTTGCGCAAGTTTGTCTTTTTATTTACTCATTCTACAGTAAAGGCCTAGCCACACGGTTAATTCACAGAGAGTAAACTTACGTAAGAGTTTGGTTTTTGTACGCGTCCGAGCCCCGAGCAAACCATTGTAAAAGGGTACTCTATTTTGTCTTAGACACGTACAAATACACAAATATGTACTTGGCTTGCGCTAGTTTAAGGAGATACCACAATTATTAATGTTGGATCGGGGCGGTATGAGCGGTATCGAAACGTATGTGTTTTTCGCTCTTATTGCACTGACATAAACCTTTTTCTGACCGGCTTAATGAGATCCCGTGTGAATAAGTGTGGTGACTCCCTTATTCACGGTGAGGATATTTAGTATATATTAAACATTAAATATAAAAGAGCGTTGGGATGTATTTTTCATTGTTAGGAGCTGAAAGCCGAGATAAAATCACATGGTGTCATATTTGTATTGTATAAAAGTGTCAATTGGCAAAATTAGTAAAAATAATACTATTATTAGTTAATGAAATACCACCTATTTAACGTAATATACGTCAATATGGTAAAAAGTTCTGTAATAAATAAACTAAAACAGAGTCTAAATAAATATTTTAGAACACTTTTATAGCAACACAAATACATCATTATGATCAGACTCGTTGCACATATTTTGTTAAATTTACATTAAACCAGTCTCAGCTAGGAATATATAATTATTATATACGTCCACGCAAATACAATATATGACAACACTCGTAAGCATGCAAGCAAAAAATAATTATAAAAAGCGTTTAAAATATTCATTCAAACTTACCTTCCTCTGTCGTAAATAACGGTATCAATGAAAATATAGAAATATAGATAAATTCTTTATTAGTGAGAGGCCAGTGTACACGATTTAAAACAATTGTTTCAAAATGAAGCTTATCCCTAAACTCAATTATTACCAAAAATTACTGTCTGTAATGTTATTATTTATTATAAAGAAAAATAATCTTAACCCAATTAATATTAAAAGCAGTTTAAAACAAAAATTGAATTATTTATTACTCTTTTTGGGACACAGGTTATTAAGGAGTTAAAATATGTGTTAAGTAACTGTTTATAGATGTAGAAATATCAAAATGCAAGTGGAACTGGAAATGCCATTCTTTGGTTTAGCGAAATAAGAAATGTAGTAATACCATTTTTCTGACTGGATAAAGGCTTAATGTGAACCTGATAATTGCCCAATAGTAAAAAAAAGACTAACGTTTTTGTTACTGCTTTTCGTAATGGAGCCTAGCTTTTAACTAACGGATTTCATCCCATAGATCGGTAAATAAAAAAATAATAATACAAAAGAAATAATAAATCACAGAAAATGAAAAGTTTACACACTACAACATCGATACTGTAATCTAAATATAAGTACAAAGTAACACTAACTATATGGCAATGATTAGTCCGAATATATGATTGTTCTATCTTTTTAGTTCTATCTCTTATTTTTATTATTCGAATTAAAAAAAGAACATCGCATTGGTTTGAACATTATTAAACACTTGTGTACAAAACGTGTATTGCAGTGTCAAATAGAGAATATTTAACCAACAAGGCGACTGTAATGTATGTGTTATTTGTTTCGGACTAGTCAAGTACCGGATAATTATTACAAAATTATAAAAAATAATATTTACTTAAACATCTTAAATAAGAATAGAATAGGGCCGAGCACCGAAACAACTGAATTCTTCTCGATAAAATTAATGACAAAACGGCAAAATCTATTTGTTTACGAAAAATATTGAAAAGGTGTGAATGTCTAAAAAATATATATCTCAATTTTAAGATTATTTCCGTTAAAAGTGTTATGGCTAACAAAAAGTCTCTTAATTTCTCTTGTCTAACGGATTCTTTCATTTTAATTGTTTCTTTCACATGAATAGACGAAATTTAAAAGAGCAAATATATGACTGTGTACAATTACCTATTGCAGTTTTCATTAATTTTGATAACACCTAATCAGCACTTCGAATACAAAGTTCGATTCCGGTTAATTCGCAAATTGGCAAGACAATGTAAAATGTTTTCATACAGCTTTGGATATTACGAATGAGATTTATCGTCAGGCATAACACATGAATTAGCTGTACAAAAGTTAGTGATGTTTCCATGCTCGGTAAACTTATTGTCTTATCCGCAAACAACTGTAAGTTAGTGTCAAAATTCATAGAATCTCTACATATGTTCTCTATGTATATTGACAGGTCACCCACAATCATTTACGAATGTGGATGCTATTACATTTAAATTATCTTCACGCTATTCGAACAAGGTACATGCATTCTTCGTGTAAACATAACTAAAGGAGCGAATATGTCAGTATTGGCTCTATGTGTGAAATAGTGTTGCGATGAACCGATTTGTCAATAATTTTTTTTTCTTGTACCAAATACCTTCGTAATTAGTCACTTATCCCGTTCATGGACAGTACTTAAATAGAATTGAACACAAAAATATCCATACTTTTCTTTTTTATAACGTAGTTGACGTGATATTGATTCAATACAATATTTAAGGATCTCGTCAACAACATTCTATTATAAAAGAAAGTACGGCTTTGACAATGATTGCAGTTGCGTAATTTTTTTTATAATATCAAGTGACAGGAGGAACAAGTCGTGCGCCTGATGATGGTAAGCTACACGCCTGTCCATAACAGTTACAGTGCCATTCAGAGCTTTAAATCGCAAAGATCTGAGGGGCACTGTCACTGCGCCCATTCACCCTGAGACATAAGTTGACAAGTCCCATGTGCCTGTAATTTCACCAGCATATTTAATTAATAGTAAAACATATGGGTTTTAGACAAAAAATATGGTTAAAACTTATTTTTGATGTTAAAAAGTTCAATGTCACTGTCTCAATGTAATGTCCACACATGTGTACGTGTAAATCACTGAATTTTGTCAAAACTTTATTGATAGTTCTTTATGGAGAAGCAGTAAGGGGCAGCTACTCAGAAAGTACTTCGAAATCGCACATAACGCCCGTAGTTGGCTTTGTCGAGATCCATATGGGAACCGGGGTACCCCTTAATATCATATTCTGATATCTAAATAGATACGATTAGATAGATTACGGTAAACGCCGTAACTACCCATGAACGTGTTGATATAATTTGCGGTGACAGAAAATATAGGAACAGTTTTGCGGTCATTTGATGCAAATTAAATTGTATTGGAGATGATACTAGCCACGACATACGATATAGACACAAAGATTCTTTAAATATAATAGCACCTTATGGACAACAAGCGTATTATGTAATACAACGAACAGCAATGCGTCATGCAGAGCACGGCTATGGCAGAGCTTATAGTTTTTCGTAAGGCAGGTGAGAAGTTACATCTGAAAGAAAATTATAATGTAAGAAGGAACTGTTCTAGTGTTTGTATGTTGGTCATATGTAGACGTTATATAGATAACAAAAGAAACAATGTATAGAATATTGAATGCATTTGAGTCAATACTTATTTATGTTTGAAAATAATAATAGAATTGACGATTGTTTTGTGTCTGCAGAATTTCCAATCAAGATAAAATAGAGTCGAGGGATAAATAAACGAGTCTCGTGCAGATACACATTCTGATTCTGTCGTGGGTATTTTTTTAAATTAGTTAAAAGGCACAAGGCGTTTAAACCACTGGATTGCAAGGTTGATTCCATGGACGTGGACTTTGCAAACTTTAAAATTTTTTTTTTTAAATATCATGTTTTATTACCGTATCCATATATTCCACTAGATTGCAATATTATTGACGCAAAAATCGAACAGACAAATAAAAACGCCTTCGATCCGATTGAACTCAAACCAGCGTCTGTTGTCTAACCGTGGCTACTGCTCAAACCTACTCAGCTAGAGAGCACCAATTGTTTTATGTGCCCGTTCCAGACCCTGTTCTTTCGTTCTCCGCTCGACATCCATTCGAAACGATTACTGTCAAATAAGTAATACTCGACCATTTTAAAACACGCACGATGCGAATGAAGCTTCATACTTGTCTTTTAATTTGGATGAATATGACTTATTTGACAGTAAATGTTTCGGTTGGAGAACGCAAGTAGATCCTCAGTATAGTGTGGGGTTTAAACGACTTTTTAGTTGTAACGCTATTTCTGAGTTTCTTCACTCAGCCAGGTACCCTTAACACTATTAGGTAACAAACTCTGGTTCAAGTCCAGTCGGAGCCAAAGAATTTTTCTTTGTGTTTGTTCGATAGTTGTAACAATAATAATTTTACAATTTTGTGAAGAATTCATAATCGTGACGCTTTGATGGTCAAGGAACATATCATGACGAAACCTGCCTTTTCGAAGGGGTCACTACATTTATCCATCGGAATAGCATTAAGCCGGTCAGAAAAATGTCTGTGCAATTAGAGCGAAAAAGACGTTGCGCGATTTGTGTGAATCGCTGCGGCAATCCGAGCCAAAATCAAATACGCAACGTCTTTTTCGCTTTCATTCCAAGGATATAATGGTTTTCCTGACCGGCTCAAGCTGATTCGATTGTAGTGACATCCGTACTCAGCCCACAATGTGGAATGTGTGAAAATGGATTATTAATCGAATTAATTTAATAGATCCTAAAATATTGTGGTCCCTTTTAAATTAGAAAGTGACGAAAATCTGTACGCTGAAGTGCCATGTCAATGTACAGGCAGACTAAATCAGAATTTACATCAGTATCATCAAACAAAATACAACTGTGATATGTTCGTCAATATCGAAAATATATACAGGTACAAAAACGATTAAATATATGTATAAACACGAAACACGTCTATTCTCAATCTCTCATTACGTAATTCTAATATGGTGGGCAAATAAAACATGTTATCATGCGGCGGCATGCGATGACGTCACGAAGCTAGCATATGCACTTACCGGAGCTGTACTGAGTGTACTGCTGGTACTGCGGGTGGAAATTGTGGAACGCGTCCGTCATAATGTCCTTGGGATTCATTGTCTCCTGCAAACGGGAATTTCATAAAATTTAGTTATGCAGAAATGTATTTGACAACCACAGCAATTTTTTTCTCTCAGCGAGTTAATGGCTCAGTTAGAACTCTACAGGGCGGAAGGGCAGCTAAACCGTCGTAGCTACAAGAAAACAGTCCTAAAAGATTGTCCATAAATTTTGAAGATATTTCGTTTGGCATTCACAGATTTTCAGCAAGATAAAGGCAATTTTCACGAAACTTTTTTCATGCCATTCGATCCTGGCAGGGATCAAAAGACTCTGTGAAACCAACTGAGGTAAGAATGCTAGAAATACCAGAAATACCAAAAAGCTTTACATACAATAAAATTTCCAACCTGTATATGCTTTCGAGGGAAAGAAATCTAACGAAATGCCCAAAATACGTAATGGCTGACTTACAAGATGCAGAGAATAAAAGGGTGCGCAATTGTTCATATAAAAAGTTTCTTCCTATCATTGAAACCCACAACAATTTGCTTATCGTTGTCTTGCACATTGCCAGACAACCACAGCAATTGCCTGGTCTCAAACTAGGGAATTCCCTATACTATGAGTACCAGAGCAAAGGAATTCACTCTGAGGCACTTCTCAGAACACTCAAGACTAGTACCAATTCAGAAAAGTTCTTAAGACCAGGTTTGGTCTTAACGAGAATCGTCCCGAGACCTCCGCATCCAGTATCCACGGTGCAAACCGTTGAACCACCGAGGTCGTCAAAATTAAACTCCACAATAATCACTATTTAAATTGGTTTTCAAAGCTTTATAGGAAAACATAATTGCCAAACATTCAAATTTCAAGTCGACCCCCACTTTTGGCTAGGATTTCTTTTAGTTTATTACTTTTTGTAGATAATTAATTTTCACTGTATATATAAGTTACGTAAATGTATCTTTCACATTAACATATTTCACATATAATTTAATGATGTGTACGTCATACCTTAAGGCTGGAAGAGATGGACTGCATTGTAACAGAGCGGTGTGGATCACGGTGTGCATGCGCATAGACGCTAGCAGGGAAGGCATAACGCAGCGCGACTGCTGCAGCCAGCATTTCAATGCAGATCAAGAAGTTCTGATAGCCAGCAGAGACTGTACCAGCGGTGGTCGGCTGACCGTCGATTATGATTGGCGATATAACTTCGGCCTTCTCTAGGATGGCTAGGGCTACACCTGTGGGAATAAGTTGATGTTAAAATACACACTTATAACGATGCTGTTCGCGCGACATAAAGCGCGTGATGCTGCTATACTCTCATAGATCGCATTTCCTCGCGCTTCTGTCGCTCTCGCCTGGTGTTAGATCATGGAAACATTTCCATTTATATATACATATATTTTTCCGGATATTTTACCCTTCATATTCCATATTTGACGTTGACACCTGTCAAAATTGGAAGTTATTGAACGAAAACGACGGAGCCATTAAAAATGGTTTTTTTCGCTGTTGTTAAATAATTTTAAATCTCGTTTTTCTCTAGTTTATTTTATAATACACGCTAAATAAAACTTCAAAAGACATTTCTATAAGACTTTGAAATTATATTTTTCAATTTTCCGGGAATTTATCCGGAATAGTGTCCACTATTTGAAATTTTTCGTAAAATTACCCAACAATACTCTCGACCAAGTCGCGTCCTGTTAAGCTAGTCCTACATATTATACTAAAAACAAAAAGATATATAATCAAAATACCTTGCCAGAACGAGAGGAAAATTACGGATTTGACGGTAAAGAACTTGAGCACCGGGTCAAAAGGCTTGAGCATCTCCCTTGTGGCGCCGAGGAACATGAAGAGGCCGTACAGGGCCAAGCTCACGGAGAAGTTGTACACAATCGTGATGTAGAGATAGCCGCCATGCGGGGACCAGTCACCGTCGCTGTACAAGTTCGCCGACTGCAGAAAATAATGAAGTTTATATTATTTACTAATAAAACTTTCCTAACATACAATACATATAAAATTTGCAATATTAACAACGCACACAACAACATCGCACACAATCGACATAGCCCCGCACTAGGGAAACCCTGTGTCGCGGGTGCCATGGACACACAAATAGACAATTACAAATTACACCCAAACTCACGAGACAAATAAATGTAGGCCATACAAATATTTCTCCCGGCCCGGGAATCGAACCTGGGACCTCTGCATGGCAGTCATGGCAGGCATGGTAACCGTTCGGCCACGGAGACAGTTAAATTTATATTTTATTTATATTATTTTACCTATGATCGTTTTTTTAGCTGTTGTGCAATCATTTTAAATCTCGTTTTACTCTAACGTGCTTTTCACTACAATTATTTTAGAATTCTAAAATTTCAAAAGATATATCTAAACGTAGAACATATTTTTCCAATTCAATTATTTCCTTTCAATTACATGTTTCCAATTTTTCAGAAATTGTTCCTGAAAAATTTCCACTATTTCAATTTTTTTGTTAAATTACCCAACAGTATGTACACGTTAGCAGCGCATTATTTTAGATTTTGTGTCCAGTACTTAGATTTATTTTAAAAGAAATTTATTTTAGAAATAAGCAAAACCTTTTGTTTGCGTGTTCCTTTTGTAAAATGTGATTTGCGTGTTATCCTGTACAATAAATGATTAAACACAACATAAAATTTATCCTAATAACTATCACCGCGCTTAAATTGCCGACTGACTGATTAAAAATACATGTTGCATCTAGTATGTAAATATTTTTGTAACAATATTAACGCAGTTGAGTGTACTTGATGGAGTATTTAAATTTATAGAGCAGCAGGTTTTGTTCTCACATTGCAATAACTTAAATAACTATGGAATACATCTTTTACTTAAATTGTAATATTATTATGTTAGGACAGACGCATTGGCACACATCGCACCTACACCGGATGCGGATTATAATGACTTCACAAGCAAATATCCGCAGTAATAACACGTACTGTTAAAAACAACACATTTAGCTCTACGGAGGCACAAAATTGTATAGCCTTAAAAAGCATGTGATATTAATAATTATGAGCAATCTGAATTCAGAAACTCGGAAGCAGGCATACATATCTGTTATTATTAATTGATTTTGTTTAGACATAATAAGTAAAAAACAGTGATAGCCTAGTTTAGTTTTTAATAGCAGCAGAGTTTCTTGGGAAAAAGTTCGTCTAGGAAAGTACTGTCACCCTCCCGTTTCTGCCGGCAGTTAGTAATATGAGCATTACTGAGTTTTGAAGGTTAAGGGTGTTGGGTGGAACTACAGGCACTTGTCAACTTTGTGTCTCAAGATGACAGGCGCCCCTCAGGTCTCTGCGATTAAGGCTGAGTGGCACTGCAAATGTATGTACCTTCCCACCAGGTTACGAATAAGTTGTTTATTCGTCCCGTTACTTGTTATAATAAAAAAGTGTTAATAAACCAGTATACGTTACATTATACTTAACCGTTTCAAGTAACATACTCAATTGTACATATCTAAATCTTAAATCACTATGTATACATAACCAGATACTAAATATATACACAAGAAAACGCTTTAATGTCAATAGACAAGCGAAAATTTTCTCTACTCCAACAGGTTTTGTCAACGTGCGAACACGTTTTGTCAACGTGCGCCCATGTTGTGTCTGCTTCTTGACAGACAGTTATCAGATTTTGAACCGACTTTATAAAGAGGAGGAGGTTCACAATTCGATTGTGTTTTTTTTTTTCGTAAGTATGTTATGCGATAATTCTTTTGTGAACCGATTTTGATAATTCTTTTTTATTGGAAAAAAGGTACCTCAGAAATGGTCCCATTTTAATTTGAAGAAAATATTCCACCTCTAAGGATGACGAAGTAGGAGATGAATGACTTTTTGATGTCGGATTATTTAGTACTCTGTGTTGGATTATATAAAACGTTTTTTGTTCACATTGTTTCCTAAACTATGAAACGTCATATTATTGGTTATAGCACTTAAAACCTAGCTATCACAATAATAATGAAATCCCTGTACAGTATAACAGATAATGACTGTTTCGATTAGAAATCTCTAGTACGTTCTTTAATAAAATTATCGTAACACATCACAGTGATTGATTACCATAGTTGGTTTTACGTGCAAACGTTTTAACATTCGGTTTTGTAATAAATAATACTACAAAACATGAAATCACCGAAGCCATATAACAGCGCCAAGGAGAACTATATTTTATTAATTAACGTATCGTTCCGTTTATCACGAATGGATATAACTTATAATTTAGACCATAGTTTCCCAAAATCCCTACCGCCCCCGAGTGGACGCTGAATACTCCTAAGGTGGCGGTAGGAGCCTCGGTAGCAATTAGAGGGCGTTGATGCAGCTACTATTGATGTACGTTGATGACACTACCGCATTTGAAAAAAAAAAATTTAATTATCTTACATACATGTATAATTTTTTGTCCTTGTGATTTTTTTGTGTTAAGTTAAATATAAAAAAATAAGTGTTTTCAATTATTTTTTTGTGGTGGTGGGCGGTGAAATTTTGTTATCTTGCCAAAGTGGGCAGTGAGCCAAAAAGTTGAAAAGGAATTTTAAAAAAAAGTTAAAAGGGAACCTATAATTTAGACGGAAAATTTTTTTTTACAAGCAAGCTGCAGATAACCGCCGTTGCCTGCATGCAAGAAGAACACTTAAAGTTGTTTGGTGTCAATTTTCCTGATATTACTTCTAAAGAAACGTGCCTCAAGTGCTACTCTATTTGCTGCTAATACCTTACGCAAATTTTCTACAATACGGTATACTTTGATAAGCCATGAAGCCGCCGTGTTTTGGAATGCAATGACGTAAGAGCTAAGCGAGTACAGAACAATCCAAATAATTATGTCATAATTAGCGTAATCAACGAATTATGTGCAACAAATTCCATGTACAATAGTGCATTCTGCCTTATCGGTATGACTCGAAGTTTAAACTCATTCTACTAATGCGCAAATTCAAAATCCCCACAATTACGAAATCGATCAATAATGCGTAGAAATTGGCTAATAATGGCTTAAGTACTGAAGATTTTAGTAGCTACAAAAATATGAATCATTGTCGTTATCAAAGACTGCGTCATCATTTACAGTTAGTTGGCCAATTGAGTGTTATCACATTGTTGATAAGATCTAATCTTGATTTCACGGGCTAAAAAGTACTATGCATTTTTTTGTATCTTACTTATACATTACAATAAAAAAAAATATTTGTAAAACTAGTGTGTTACAAAAATTTTTTTTCTGGGTCTAAATCACTGATGAAACATAAACGACAACTTTAATTCCATGATTTATTAATTTTTTTTATTATTTAATTATTAATAATTCCTGAGGTTTTACTTTCGTAGAAAAATAAAAATATTTAAATAGATCGCTCTAAACAGTGATAATCTGTGCGGTACGATGCAAAACGCAGGAGCGGGGTTGGGGATCATGCCCGACCCTTGCGCATTTCAACTTACTACCAATTATAGACCTAAAAAATGTCAGAGAGTACACGAATTTAAAAGTTTATTTTTGGTACATTTTGTAAAAAATCATGAAACAAAAGTTGTTGTCTATGATGTTTGTAATTTGACAATTAAACTCTGTATAAATGTGAATGTGTTTGTTGGCACCGAAAATGTCACGATTTTATTGTTACCTGCAAAAAGATGATAACAAACGCGCAAACAGGCTTAACGAGGCAGAATTGAAGGGTGGCTTGTTTGCAGAAGCGCAGGAAACCAATCGTGTAAGTGGCACCGGATAGGCAGCAAGTGCCGTTTATACAGGAAGCTCGCACGGGCCGGCCACGTAGCTCAGACATTATGTTGCCTTCACCGCCGAGGTACTCATAACAGAGCGATAGGAAGCTGTAGATCACGAATGCTGGAAATTTAAAAATAATTGATTGTTACAATCTGTTAAAATAACAATGTATGGGTAATTTTTAGGTTAGTTTTCTCCAATTTCGGTGGCAATTCGACAGTGCGTTTTTTTATTATGTTACGCGATAACTTTGTGAACCGATTTTGATGATAATTTTTTTGTTGGTAAGAGGGTACCTCAATAGTACTCCCATTTAAATTTTAAGAAAATATTCCACCGCTGAAGGTGGCAAACTGGGGGATGCACTCTGTACTGATATTATTTAAGTATTCGAGTATATTATGATGAAATTTTAAATAATATTTCAGGTTACTACACTCAAATATTAAATAATGCTTCATGATAATATTCTAGAATATTTAAAGAATTATAAATTCCACCGAGATTAGGAAGAGAAAACGAACCTGAAAATTACCAATCTCCAGGAAATGAAACTATTGTTTCGGATGTAAATAGCGTATATTTGTTTTTGCAAATAAACAAACGTGTCGGCCGTTTACAGGTGCTATCATCGCTGCTGACTGAGATGATTGTTTTGTTAAATTATTATAATTCAAATGTATTTAAAAACATCGCTTTACAATGCTAAAACTCAACTGGTAAGAGACATTAATTCCTATCGTCGTTCGTTTTTTATGTAACATATTTGATAGTAAGATTGAATTTATATGCCAAATCTCTTTAAGACGCTCTGTAGAAAAGAAAATGCTATTTGGCACGTTAGGTTCTTTACTACACGCCTATAGGTACATATTGATTGTTACCCACTACGTTATTGTGCCATCAGATTCTGGTAAACTTATTCATTTTAGGCAGCATTTAGAAAATGGAATAAAAAGTCGTTCGTTCATACGGATAATGAGGATGGTAAATCAATTAAGGCAAAATAGTGACATTCATATTCTTATAATTCTTAAATTTTGTTTGTTTTTTGCATGTTTCCCTTTATTTGAAACATAGAACGCTTGCGGATTTGTTTGTTTAAATAAAAAACGAGTGTTACAAAAAGGAAACGTAAAATTCCATTCGAATTTCTGCAACATGGCAATAACTTTCCTTAACATAGCGGGCTACACCAATGTATTGAGGTCAGGGTCATAGCTTAGCCTACTTTAGGGAGATTCGCTTAGTAATAGTCAACAGTCTCTCACACTTTCACTTCCATTACATTTGTTTAGTCTAATACGGAAAAAATGTGTCTTCATGTGACACTTGGCCATTTAAAGCAACGAAAACCTACTCGCCATTTACGTAGCGTATACCACGCTGCTCTAGATATAAAGAACTTTTTTCTGTTTACGGTATTTTCTTACGATACTCAGATAACAGTTAGTTGAAAGTAAATTTCACGAATATGCGATTTTATCTCAAACGTGTACGAAACTCTTGAATTATTAGATCATACTTTAAACGTCTATGTATAGTCACCTGATTTGTGATGCATATGCGTGGGGAAATTGAACTCCATTTTCATGGAGAACATCTATTGAATTTCATTGTTTGCTATACATATATAAGACCAATTTATTTATTAATGCTTCGAAGAAGAATACTACCTACATGAATTAAATAACATACTAAACTGTCTCCGCCTACGCCGAAAAATACAAAATAATAACGTTATTTTTTGTTTTAAATTCTGAAATCGCTATGTAAATATACGTAAAGACACATAGTACTGTATATGTATTTAGTATGTTATTGTTTGCCACAAAATCTACGACATATTATGAAAGAAAATCTAAGATAAGGAAGGTATTCTTCCAATAACAGCAGTAGATCTCCTTGTGAATGAGTTCGTCCAGGTAAATACTGCCACCTTACCTATTTCTGCCGCTAAGCAGTAATGTGAGCATTACTGCATTCTGGGTTAGAAGGGTAAGGGTGCTGGTAAAATTACAGGCACATGGGACTTGTCAACTTATGCCTCAGGGTGTCCCCCTGGGCAGTGCCCCTCAGATTGTAATTTAAAGCTCTGAGTGGCAAGTTGTTATGGACAGGCGTGTAGCTTACCATCAGGTGCACGACTTGTTCGTTCCGTCACTTGATGTTATAAAAAAACATTTTTTTAATCTAAACTATCTAGTTTCGTTTGCAGAATATTAAATAAAGCGTATGACGGTCATCTCACCTTCATAGCAATCCCTGACGGTGAAAAAATAGACATAATACGAGTCGCTATTGAAGAAGAGCAGCGAGATCCAGCTGTAACAGCCGTAGATCGGCACGATGAACAGGATGCGCACGATCCAACGCTGCTCCGACGGGTTTGTGTACCAGCGCAGGTGCTGGTAGATCTGCAACGGATTACGATGAGAAATTAAAAACAATAACGATAGCACCTCGGGTGAAACAGTGACTTATATCATTAAAAGTTTCAACTGTTTGCAATGTGGTCGCTGGATGAGGCTTTACTGGGTTTGATTCCCGGTAAGACCAACTTGGGAAATCAGCTTTTCTAAATTAGTTCTAGTCTGGCTATTTTGGTTAGTGCACCGTTTTATAAGTTTTTTTTTTTGCAGGATTTGTTTTGTCTGTTCTATATTTGTTCTTTTATTATCTTACTTCATCTTGGCAATCATTCCGGTTATGTTCATAATAATTTTATACGCCAATATCTATTTGTGCTTATTTGACTATCTAGGGGCCCATCTACCTTGAATAAAATACGTTAAAAGCGTGAAACACACAGAGAGCTCAGAGAGCGTACTCGCCCGCGCTCGGTGTGTTGTCGTCCGTATAATGCTCAGGCTACACAGAGGCGGCTGCGGAAGAGTTCCGGGCGCAGGGAATTTTTGTAATGTTTTTGTAACGAGTTCATATGCTGCAATCCACTAACTAGAAACGCGGCTAAGTGACAAATGGTCAAATAACCGCTTTAAATAGCAAAAAATAGAGCACAAAACAGTTGAAATTAGTTAACGTGTTCGACTCATCGGAACTTACCTAATGATGCATAGCTGAAATATCATTAAACAATTTCAATATTCTAAAACTGGGTTATGGTTTTTATGATATCTGTAAAAAATATCTTGTCACTTAGCCGCGGTTTGGTTAGCGGACGCTAGTATGAATGAATCCTGTCACACTAAAACGCGCGGCGGCCGCGCTACAAAAATTCCCGCGCCCGGAACGCTTCCGCGGCTGCTTCTGTGTAACCAGAGCATGAATACACGGAGTTAGACCCGCCGTGGTCCCGACCCGACCCGAACCCGCTCTCTGTGTGTATCACACTTAAAGCGTGATAGTAATAAAAGTGCTAATGATTATTTAAAGGATTCATCGGCGACACCGTCACCAGCACCAAATTCAATTATTCGTCAGCTATCGACGACGTCTTCCATTCAACACATGGGCGTTCTGTTTGGTGTATATTTGTTGATCTTGATGGTGTGGTTATCAGGCTAGTTACAAAAAACAACTAAGGTCTTTTTTTAGATTGAGTTCATATTAGGTTTGTGAATGTGAATATATTTCAACAACATGATGACGAAATTGGGAATATCAAAAATGATAAACATTAAAGAAAAGGTTCCGCTCCCCTAAAATCACAATAACAGTGTCCAAAAAAAGCGACGATATTTATGGCAGGTGTAAGTAAACAGGCACGGTACGTAAATAGAACGATCGATACAAGGCAAAATAGGATGGAAGTATAGGCGTAAAGCCTCGTACAACCATAATAAGACAAACGATATCTCTTTTTTTAAGTGTTGAGTGACGGGACGAACTTACACTTGATGGTAAGTGACATGCCCACTCATAACTGTAATCCATTGCCATTAAGAGCTTTAAATCGCAAAGGTCTGAGGGGCACTGCCACTGCACCCGCCATCCTGAGGCATAAAGTTGACAAGTCCCATGTGCCGGTAATTTCACCAGCAAACAAAGGGCCAGCTCAAAACGGCGGACGGAAAGGCAGAGAGAAATGTGCCGCTATACTCCGAGGTCGGTCTCAGAGCATTGCAACTTATACCTTATTCCAATTGTAATAGCATAAAATATACATTGATAAAATTAATGTCCGCCGCCAGTTTGCCGTAGCTTTGACCCTTCAAAGCTGGAACGCAGTAACGCTCACATTACTGCTTGCGGCGTAAATAGGTAAGGTGGCAATACTACCCTGGACGAACTCTTTCACAAGGAGTCCCACTGCTACTTAAACATTACATAATTATCTACAAAATATTAGATAATAATTGGGCCGCCATAAATATTTCTTGGTATGTTATTTATAATATGCATATACCCACGCTTTTGAATTACCATTAGGGTAGGCAAAGTGTGTCCTATACGTATAGAACATGTAGAACTAAAGGTTATGATGGTTACCTTAACCAAGTCTAAATGTGCTAATACACGGTGAGTATCTTACTAAAGTGTCACATAAAAGAGTCACCACACTTATCTATACGGAATCACATTAAGTCGGTCAGAAAATGCTTTTTGTCCATGAAATAAGAGCGAAAAAGACGGTTACACAACTAGTCGCGTCGGCAATACGAGTGGTAGCGAAGCACGCAACGTCTTTAGTCAACAGGACCGTGAGACCAACCTTAGAGCTCAAGCCACACAAACGCGGCACAACGGCATAAGCGGTCCGGTGGCGGATCTGCCGGAAGCGAATGCGTGCCGGGGCGTACCACGCGTGCGAAAGCGGCCGGTGTGACATTTAAAAGCAACCACATTTCATTTCATACTTAGATTTTAAAGAAAGCACCACATATTATTATCGCTGTCTGATAGTGTTCAAGAAAATATTCTGCTTTTATTCGCATTACGGAAGCAACGCAAAAGAAATTTGGGTTGGATTCATACTGAAACTTAATAAAAACACATTCAACAGTTATAAAAAAATACAACGTGCAATCCCGTTAAAGCCCCGTTCCCGGACCGCGCCCCGACAAAACTGTATTCCATTGAGTTGTATAGAACTCAATGGAATACAGTTTCGCGCCCGCAAACGCCCCGAGTTCGCCCCGGTGGTTCCAGCTCGAGCCTGTTTGTCATAGCGTTTGGCCCCGGCGCTACCGGGTTTCAATGTGGCAAGGTGCATAAGAACTCGAACATTACAAAAATTCCCGGCCCCGGAATGCATCCGCCATCGCCTGTTTGTAGGGAAAAGCAGCCATACATAATATAAGGATGTCTACAGCAATTAATTGTTTCAAATTATTTTCCTGTTACAAAGTCGCTCCCTGAATGATCATATTTAGTAATGAAGCAATGTACGTTAATCATACTACAGAAGAAGCGTTGACGTAATGCAATTTTAATAAATTCTACGACGTATTTAGTGAAACAAAGGTTTATAGTTTATTATTATAAAGGGTAGCGACTTCTATAATGTCGTGTAAGCCGTTATATGTAACACATAATTGAACTATATATTATAGTTATACATGCAACGAGGATAGTATGACATAATCAAATATTAAATATCTTTTAACTAAAATAACGCAAATAACAATAAGCAATGCAAATTATAATTCATAACCACAAAATAAATTACCGTTAACATAATTCATGAGAACTTTGAAATAATAAGAATACCAATTAAGAATTTTCTGATGGACAAACAAATGCAAAATATGAAATTAATAAAATATGATTAACTTTAGAATATTAAAAGCAGTTTACATTACTACTTTTAAAAATCTTATAATTTAGTCAAGGGTTAACACGATGAAAATGGAATCAATTGGTAAATATGGTGTAGTCAACAAAGCCGGTTTCGTTGTATTCTGTTGTAGATAATTTTTTTTATTTCCAATCTCAGACGATAAACAAAAGGCGATGATTCTCACATAGATGACGATCGTAAATGTTTTGTCTACCTTACATGGTATTTGAAAGGAAAGAAGTTGGAACGATTTTTCTCTACACGTAATAAGAACTAGCGCAACCACAAGCACAAGTAATAATGATACTATAAGATACTACTTCCTTTGTGTTGTAAAATGGATTTTCAAATGGTGTACCGGAAGTTTCAATACAAAATAGATTTGATGGGTTATAATTAGTGTATTCCCTGATTCAATAAAAGAACTTATAGTTACTGAAAGAAGTTGCCAATATCACAAGGAACGCGGTGAAAAGACAAATGAAAAACATCATAATGCAAATAACAGAATTTGGTAACATGAGAACGTCAACTAGGCTTGAAGGTAATAAACCGTTGTTCTCCACTGGAGCGGAACAAAATATTGTCGGCAGACAAAATATAGAGCGACAAGCCTTAGCCAGCTTGATAAGAAATATGATAACATCGTGATATTTTTGTAACATATGTTTTTAACTAATTGTTTCGTGCTATTTGTTTTTATTACATTAATTAAATTAGTGATACAAATTAACCCTGAAGTAAAACTTACTTCGCAAGGAATGTTTAATTGCTGGACGTAAACAGAAATTACCTACCTACACGTGTCAAGCAAGTGCCTGATGTAAACATACAAAACCCGAGAGAGTAGCGAAATAACTATCTTGTTTACCAATTATGACGATAGCATTGTATGGTCATACTCGCGCCCGTCGAAACAACTCTCATGACGTCATTTTTGTGAGTGAATTCACGAATGTTCATTAGAAATTAAATTATTTTTTCCGGATCTAAACCGCGCATATTTGTATTTTTTTTCAAACAAGCCAACGTTTTAGGCTCTTTATAG